TTTTTTTTTTTTACATTAGGGGAATTTTCCTTGCATTTTCCGCTCATACGTGTAAGGCACATATGGTACGTGGTGAGTGTTGAAATGGTAAGTGTTGAACGTTAAACTATATTACCACAACGGCTGCCCGACAACATCATCATCCACAACGGCTGCCCGACAACATCATCATCTTCGTTCCCGGTAAAAAATTTGCTCCACCATCAATTTAATTTTTTCCAGATCATTTTCTTTGGGCAGCGATCAAATGTCTTCCCAGCCTATGTCTTCTTCTGTAATCTTTTTTTGTTTTTTAATGAAGATATTTTTTTTCGTTTTCAAATTGTCTTAAACTCACTTTTATTTTCGACATCACTGCAAGGATATTAAACATTATGATCATTATTTTTTATGGATAAAAAGCTCAATGCAAATTTCACTTACAATTAATAATATGATCACAAATAAATTCGAAGGATAACTAAAAATTAATTTAGAAGGTAAAAATGTGTTCAAAAAATTATTGCTAGGTACCCTTTATTTAGAAATAATGACGTCGGGGTATCTCTAGTTTTTAAAATATACCACGAGGTATCCTACAATATTGAAAAATTAACTCAGGGTGATTTTCCATCCATATCTCCGTTTGCTACAACTACATCCGTCATTTCTTCATTATCATCATCATCATCATCCTATCTTCATATTCGCCCCAGCCTTCAATCACCATCTTCTTCTTTTTTCTTTTTCCTTTTCTTCTTTTTTTTCCTTTTCTTCTTCTTCCTCCAATCCAGCGCCCCACCCCACCCTCTCCCTTAATTTTCTTCTTCTTATTTTTCTATTATTTGTTAAAATATTGGAATAATAATATTGCTCCTTGAATTATGAAGTACATGATAGAGTATATATAGGAGAGACTCCTAACACAACTAGGAATAGAGAATGGAAACTAACTAACATACAACATCTACTACAAATAGGATTAGGAAGCTGACTAATAATGAAACACTACCATAACCAATACTACAAGAAGTA